TTGAGGGTTCCAGAACAACACTAATTACTCTGTACGGCTCAAATCAAGACAACCCAGATTTTTATAACATTATTTCAGATATTATTGATAGTTTTGGGAATGGTAATATGATTATATGGAGGGAATTTAACTTAGTATTGAACCCAGAGTTAGATTATGATCGTTCATACAGAATTATAAACAATGTTGCTGCTAGAAACAAGGTTTTAGAACTTATTGAAAATTATATTCTTATTGACATATACAGGGAGCATCACCAGGATAGTAAGAGATTTACTTGGCGGAGAAGTAATCCAATAAAACAGGCCAGATTAGATTTTTTCCTAATTTCAGACAACCTTTTATCCAGTATAAAAAAATCAAGCATTGAACCGGGTTACAGATCAGATCATTCAGCCCCAGTTATAACTTTGAAAATTAATGAATTTAAGAAAGGGAAAGGCTTATGGAAACTGAACAATTCTTTATTACTGGAACATGAATATTTAGATATGGTAAAAAATTGCATCGAGAACATTAAGTTACAATATTGTCTTCCAGTGTATAATTTTAACTCATTATCACTTATTCCCAATAGTGATATTCAGTTTTTAATTAATGATCGACTATTTTTAGAAACATTGTTAATGGAAATTAGAGGCAAATTTATATCTTACGCATTTTACAGGAAAAAGCAACAGAACTTGAAAGATGAATTTTAAGGCCTTAAGAAATAATAGAAATTTTACAAGATAGTATAAACCCAGACCTGGAAGATTTAGGAGATAAGAAAAGGGAGTTAGAATGTATACGTTTGAAAAAAATCAGAGGTAGAATTATTAGAACAAGAGAAAAATGGATAGAAGAGGGAAAGAGAAACCTACATCTTATTTTTTTAATTTGGAAAACAGAAACTTTATTCCCAAAGTTATTCCACAAATTCAGAAAGAGAACAATGAAATTATTACAAACCAGAAAAATATTTTAGAAGAAGTACAATAATTTTATGCAGACTTATATAAACATAGGGATGTTGACAATACTGATTAAGGTGTTCATCTTCGTGACTGTTATATTCCAAAGTTAAATGATGTTGAGTCTAGCAGTTTAGAGGGTAGAATAACATTGGGGGAAGCAGGGAAAACATTGAAAGACATGAAAAATATTAAAAGTCCTGTGTCTGACGGTTTTACTTCAGAATTTTCTTATGTTAATCAAGGTGGCAACATTTCTGCACCTATCAACATTCAACGCGGATGCCGTCAAGGTGATCCTATCGCCACATATATATTTTATACTTTGTGTTGAGGTCTTAGCATCAAAAATAAGAAATAATGACCATATTAAAGGCATCCAATTGGAAAATATAAATATTTTAAATTTACAATATGCAGATGATTCTGGGTTTGATACTAGATGGTACTGAGAGGTCTCTTTAGGAATCTATCGATGAATTGAATAATTTTGCAAATATCTCTGGGTTAAAGATCAATACTACAAAAACACAGGTTATATGGATAGGCAGTAGAAAATATAGTGACCAAACTTTCCTTCCAGACTTCCAGCATCTACAATGGGGGTAGGATAAGTTCAACTTTTTGGGTAAAGATTTTTCCGTAGATTTAAGTGAGATTCCAAGAATGAATTTTGACAAAAAGATTGTTAAACTTAACGCTCTTATTAATAATTTGAATAGACATAATTTGACTCCATTAGGTAGAATAAGTATCATAAAGTCTTTGTTGATTTCCTAACTTAATTACCTATTTATCACTTTGCCAAACCCATCCGAAAAATATATTGCTAAGTTGAATTCTTTGTTATTTAATTTTCTATGGAATGGCAAAAGTCATAGGATTAAAAAAGAAGTTGTGATTCAAAACTAAATAAATTGGGGATTAAAGATGATTGATGTACATGCTTCTATTGATTCTCTTAAGCTAGGTTGGATTAGAAGACTGTTCCAGCCATCTGGAAAATGGAATCAGCTTTTGAATCTAATTTTGGATCCTAAAAAAATGATTAATTGTGGAAAAGAATACATTATGACATGTGTAAATACCTGTCTTAACCCATTTTGGAAGGATGTTTTTAAAGGATGAGTTAGACTGAATAATTCCAAAATGAGACAAACCTACAGTAGAATTGAATCAATGTTAAAAACTCCCCTATGGTATAACAAAGATATTCCAGTGGGTAATAATTTTATTTTTTTATCGAAATTGGTTTGAGACAGGAATATTTACAGTGAATGACCTGGTTTAAAATTCTGACAGCTTGACTTTCTATTCACTTGAGGAGTTTCAGTTTAATTTTCATATCCATACAAACTTTCTTCAGTACCAAGGACTAGTCTCAGCTGTCAAGCGTTTAGTAAGGAAATTTGACTCTCAGATAGCTATAGAAAGACCTTTCCAACCTTTTACACCTCTTCTCCTTGATTTTTTTTAAGAGTAGAAAAAGAGTTAAAAGATTTCTATAACTATATTATTGCTCCAGCTTCAATTTCCATAATTCCTTTTACAGTAACAAAAAGTGCAAAATTACAGTGGTTCCAAGTCAAAATTTTGCATCACATTTTGGCAACAAACACCTTTCTGTTAAAAATTAACTTAACCCCTAGTCTGTTATGTACTTTGTGTAATATAGAATATGAAACAATAATTCATTGTCTTTGGGAATGTCGAGAAGTGCAGAAATTACTACAGAGATTTGAAACTCCGCTGGATCTATTTTTTATCCCGTTTTCATTTAATAAGAAATCCTTCCATTTTGGAATAGTTTCACACCTTTCAAGCTTTGTTGATAATGAAATTTTAATTCTTATCAAGCATTAAATATACAAGACTAGATGTCTCTGCAAATCTTTAAATCTCAATGCCCTAATTAATGTTATTAAAGATCATTTCATTGTCCAAAGCTGTATTTATAACGGTAAAAGTGAGCAATTCAAAATTTGAAACAAGTTGGAGAAAATGGTACCTTTATAGATATATAGATGTTTTGTTAATTTATTTTTCCTGTATTTTAATAAAAAAAATGTATACAGTATATATCCAAGGCCTCAGCAGTTTCTGAATAAGTCACTGGCTACTTAAGTATATACAATTTGTACATGTAAGATTCCCTCCCCTCTCCCTCTCTCTCTCTCTCTCTCTCTCTCTCTCTCTCCCAATCTCTCTCTCTCTAAACTTATACTACTGATTTTACTCTTATATAAGTATAGTAGGTTTGATGAAGACAACAGATGTATACTATTATTTATGGTTCTAAAGTAAGAGAGTGATGTGTGTATTAACCTGTGTAATGGATATGTGTCTGAGAGTTTGTTATGGTGTGTTGTGTGGTGGATGGTGTGTGTGTGTGTGTGTGTGTATGGGTGTGTAAAAGATGAAAAATATAGATACAACTAGGTATGAGGCATATGAGTGTCAATATATGTAGACAGCTGACCGCATACAAGTCTTATGTGTATGCATGTGTGTTTACATATTGTACATATTCATGTATGTACAATTAAATAGCAACTATGGAACATAGCTAGTATACAGTGCAGTAACATATATTAGTGTCTACAATGTAGATATAGCAGTGCTCAAATGATCAGGTACACATTGTGATATATGTGTGTGTGTTGGTGAACAGTGATACATATGCTATGCTAGGCCTGGAAGTTGGATCTATTCTTCTTAGCGCATATCATCTAGGGGTAGGAGAATGAGGAAATGTTTTAATAAATAAATATGCAGAATATGATGGTTGTATTATTAAGTTATCTCGTGCTAGCATATATACTCTGTAAGTTTGTGTGTGTGTGTGTGTGTGTGTGTTTCTTTTCATGATTATATGAATTCTGAAAAAAATCGTCGAAAAATAAACAATTACAAAAAACCCCAAAAAAAACACCTTCAGAAATTGAATGATCTTTGTGCTTTAGACTGAAATGCCATCTGGCTCTCTATTAATAACACTATAATTGACAGGAAAATCAGGGATTTTCAGTGGAGAAGCCTACACTGATTTTTAACCACTGAATGTAAATTTAAACAAATGCAGAAATCAAATGGTCTATATAACTTTTGTAAAGAAGTACATGAAACTAAACAACATCTTTTTAGTGGGTGCAGGTTTAGTGAAACAATTTGGTGCAGGATAGGACAATTACTAAATGAATGTCTAGCAACAAGCAATGTACATTTAACAGCAAAGGAACGAATCTTTGGTGTCTCAGAATATAACGATATTATAAATAAACGATGTTATCTAATCATAGTTCAGTCTAAATTGGTAATTTGGAAGGCAGGAAATCTACAGAAAAATGAAGATCAAATTCCACTATCTAATAAGTGCAAACAGACAAAATCATGCATTCATTGCTTTAATTGATTCATTGAAATCACAATTATAATTAATACAAATACAATTATGCTGCTATTGTAATGAATAAGTACAAAACGAATTGTTTGTGATAGGACGTGCTTTTATATATTGTACCGAGTCTTTTTAAATTTACCTTCTCCGAATAATGAAAATAATGAGTGAATGAATGTGCCTGTGTAATAATTAGAATGAATAGGAACTAATATATATAGTTTACATGGAATGCAAGAATAATATATATTCATTGTACTGAGTTTTTGTTATTTTAAACTGATGAAAATTTACATAATAAAAACCATCATATACTGGTTATAAGATTAAGAATGAAGTAGAATGATGTAGATGCTTTGTAAAAGTAGAACAATGTATGCTGGTTATAGATGAAGAATAAGGTAGTGATATGTAAAACAATGTATGCTGGTTATAGGATGAAGAATAAGGTAGTGATATGTAAAACAATGTATGCTGGTTATAGGATGAAGAATAAGGTAGTGATATGTAAAACAATGTATGCTGGTTATAGGATGAAGAATAAGGTAGTGATATGTAAAACAATGTATGCTGGTTATAGGATGAAGAATAAGGTAGTGATATGTAAAACAATGTATGCTGGTTATAGGATGAAGAATAAGGTAGTGATATGTAAAACAATGTATGCTGGATATAAGATGAAGAATGATGTAGTGATATGTAAAACAATGTATGCTGGTTATAAGAATGATGTAGATGCCAAGTATATAAATTTGCAAATTATTGAAATAAAAAAATTGAGAAAAAAGAAAGTTCACACATCTTAAATATTGTAGTTTTTTCACACCTTCTCCAGTCCCCAGTTTGTTTACACCAACTCCTGTACTTGTTCACACATTTCTCCATCACGTGGGTTGTTTACAAGAGCTGTAGGTTGTTATTCACAGATTCACCGTCCCGTAGGTTGTTCATACCTTCCTTAGCCCCGCAGGTTGTTCACGCAGTGTCCCGTAGATTTCCAAATTCCCGATGTCCCCTACAGTTCTATATTCCCGATTTCCCCAAGATTTCTTTATTCCCGGTGTCCCGTATATTTTTATATTCCCGATGTCCCGTAGATTTCTATATCCCCGACATCCCATAGATTTTTACTCCTCCCCTACGCATGCTCACTTCCAGAGGTAGATGGTGACACTGCAAATGAATTGGCTGTGGTTGACACAGATTTGATGATGTTCACGATGATTAGGACCGCTGATAACAAGTAGCAGCCCCCGCTCGCGTAGGAGACGTGCGAACCCCAGGACAGGACGTATTTCTCTATCGGTACGTTGAAAGAATGAAAAGCTTCAATGCTTAGGATGCTTTTGTAGTTCATTTTGTAGAGTTGTACACCAAAAACAGCTGTGACGGCTGAAAGGAAAACATAATATTATTCACTGTCTGATGAAGTTTATAGTTTTGAGATGGATCTGGAGTCCTAGCACTGTTTATCTCTGATGAAAAAATAAAGATCATTTTTTAGCCATTATGGAGCGTCTGTCGTTGACTTTGGCTAAATTTAACGTGGAGCATGGTGACCTAAAGTTGTGGGGCAGTGGGGAGGGGTCAAATATGGGAAAACTTTTAAATTCTTCTCCTTCAGTACTATTCGAGGGATTAAAACCAAATTAAGTATAGAGCATTCTTTGGCAAAGGGGACCTTGATTTGTATAAATGGAGGGTGTTGCCCCACTGGGGCAGAAGGGAGGGGCCACAAATGGACATTTAGCTTAATACTTAAAATCATTCTCTTTCTTTCTGTACAAATGTAGGGATTTTAACCAACATTTGTCTAGATCATCCTTTTGGAAAGGACAATTCAATTTCATATAGGCGGAGGGCGTGGCTCCCCTGGAGGCAGAGAGACAGGGCCCATTAGAGAGAACATAGGGATAAATGTTAAAACTCATTCTTCGGTATGAATGGGGGGNAAGATGACTCCATTTTCTATTAAACAGATGTTGTGGCCCCAGGGGGCAAATGAGTTGGACACAAGAGGGGGACATAGTGGTTTATCCTTCTGTAAGAATGTAGGGATTTTAGACAAATCTTTGAGCAACAGGGACTCAATTTTATGTAACTTGAGGGTGTGATTCCCCTGGGGGCAGTGGAGCGTGTCCCGATAGGACAAATAGAGATAAATCTGAACTTTTGTTCCATACAGAAAAAGCGATCTTAATTAAATGTGATGTATAGTATCCTTCCATTATGATTCAATATTGTATAAGCAATGCCCCAACCACTTGGGGACAGAGGGATAGGACCCACAATGTAAGTATGTTGCTGAGAGACAGATAAAATATTTGTTAATGTTGGTATCGTTATATTTGCAGATAATGTTTTGCCGTTATTCCCTAAAATAAACCGGTGATTCAATTATTCCGGTGGGAACCAGTTTCCTCTAGAGTTACAAAAACTATTTTTCTAAGACATCAACATCATGTGGATTTGATCCCCGGACTTGTTGATTATAATGCAGAGAGTTTATCAACTGTACTTCCGATTACGACACACAATTGTCTTTTTGAAGAATGGTAAATAAATATATTTGTATTTTAACTTGAATCATGTACAAGTAATGATTTTGCAAGAATTCACGTAAGAGACAAACATACATTCCAACAGTAGTTTAGAAAAGACTGATGACCATTACACGACAAGACTGTAGTACAAGGCTGATAAGGAGAAGGTGACCTACCAGACGAGCATGCTAGCAGTACCGCCAGAACATAACACGTGACCAGAAAGATTTGTCTCATTGACAACACTTCCATGACGTTTGTACTGATAACCAGGACAAGTGCAAGGACACCAGTCACCAGCGCACTGACCTCCAGTCCGACGACGCTGGCTTTCCACTCTGTAAATAAAGCGTTCTACTGTGAGGCTAGTCACCATGAAGCACACACAATGTACGGATCGGTAGGCATTTGTTCAATTATATGTTGGTATGATTTGCGCAAACACATTATGATTACTGTATTAAGAAGTACTAAAAATACACATGTTATAATTAATATATGTACAATTGTGTCATTCAGTCAACGGGTTATATACTAACTCGATCGCTATACAAGTCAACATATCAAATCCGTTATGCTGTAGAGAACAGCCTTATTTATTATAAACTTCCAGCCATGATAGACAAGTCCAGAAGTATGTAAAGACGAACTGACTTATAAAATCCAGACGTAACATAATAAAATGCTATTTACTATGTAGACCAGATATCACTACTATGGAATCCAAACATTATTTACTATAGCTTTCAGGCATTGTAAGTAAAACAGATCAGACAACCTCGGCATCATGCAGTCCACAGAAGTGATACAGCAACATAGGAACAAAGGCAATATCTACGGCGAGAAAAAGTTCAAATATCATAAGGTTTTAAAAAATATTAGTATTTTGTATCCTTGGTATTGTTCACCTACCTGTGTTTATAAATGGTGGTAACAATCCCTCTCGAACAGTTGCGTCTTCGATTTCGTCGTGAATTGTCCATAGATTCTGGTAGAGTCTCATTTTGGAACCAAAGTACGGCGTATCAAACATGTCCCACTCCGGTGAGACAACACCCACTAGTTGTAGTATATTGGCTACGATCAACACTAGTCCAGTTGTAATTATTGGCATTTTTGTTTTCCAGAAAAGCTTTTCGAAACCTTCACAACACATTGTGGTAATAGAAGTGAACTATATGACTACGTATATTTGTAGTAGATGCTATTTTGTCAGTGTGGAACATGTAGTCCACAGAAGTAAAAACCACAAAGTACCTGATCACTGTTAGTACATGTAGATACAGAATTCCTTAGTTTTCACCTACCACTTCTAGTTTCCTTTCCCGAAGGGATCAGGTCAATCAAAAGCAAATAACAGGAAATTTAAGAAACTTGTGATGCATATTTTCCAGGTTAATTGTTTCTAAGGCTTAGTAGTGTAGCCCTGCATCACGGTTAGTATATATTCTTGATCGTTGTAAGTCTACCTCTCTGTCTCATATATAACGACAATGACATGCTGATTACCTCTTTTCGTGATAGAGAAAGATATTCACCAAAACATGTTGAAACTAATTTATTATTGACACAGGGAAGACTACAATGCTTTCTCAGCAGATTCAGAAGGTCAGATGAATCAGCCATTGTTTCTCAGTAGTAAGGAGTTAGGAAACCTTGAGAGGACTTATCTATCTGTCTATATCTGAAGGTCGATGTGGTATCTATTTTGTAGAGTTGTCATCCCAATATCTTCTGTTCCCTGATAACAAGGGTATTATATTGTCCTGAACAGACGATAACACTGATAATCCTAACCGCAATTACTCTAAAGCACAAATCATAAATAATAATGATAAAAATGAATGCACAAAACTGAAAAAAATCTTTTGAAAATTGAATTGATCTAGTGAAATGAAAGAAAGACAAATTCATTTGCAATAATTCCCAACATTTTAATGGAATTGTATATATATTGAAACACGTTGAGATATTAAACAGTGTTTATTGACTAAGAAGTTAATCCATCCCCGATAAAAGCTTTTGTTATCTTAAAATAGATACATCAACATATCCCATCTAGCGAGAGTTTTTTTGTTGTCTGTGATGTTTATAATATTATATATGTACTCTTCAAAGGCCATATGAAAAAACTTTCCTTTGTCAAGGAACGAGTTCAAAAGACCAGTGTCTCGACTCTTAAACGCTGAAACCAATTAATTTAGCCTCAATATCAGTATAGTCAGATGTCAGATAATATCGAGTCATTTCGTGCAAATAGCACTCTGATACTGCAGACGGTCAGAGGGACGGGTGTCATGTTTACAAATTCCGCCCCCTTATACTGCAGGTAGTCAGAGGGACAGGTATCATGTTTACACATTCCGCCCCCTAATACTGCAGGCAGTCAGAGGGACGGGTAGCATGCTTACACATTCCGCCTCCTAATACTGCAGGCAGTCAGAGGGACGGGTGTCATGTTTACATATTCCGCCCCCTAATACTGCAGGCAGTCAGAGGGACGGGTAGCATGTTAGCACATTCCGCCCCCTTAGAAATGGGGTTATAAAGATGACTAAGCTGGTGGCCTCCTCGTCTCTCTTCGCATATTCCCTTTCCCTCCAAACCAAGATGGATTTATGGTGATTATTAAAACACCAGGATTTGTTTAACATTATAAATGCCTATAATTATGGTACGTTATTATACACGAAAAAGAAATAAAGACATATTAAACATAAATAAAAACTTTACATACAAATTTTATTCATACGCTGATTTGGTTCAGTAGACAATAATTTTTTATTGTAAGTTTAACAGACTTTAACAATGTGAAGCTTTATGACTTTTACAGTAGGTTTTATTATATGCAAGTTAATCTAATACCATTTCAAATAGTGTTGCAGTGTTTATAAAAGGACATTTATTGGCTCTTTAGCAGATTTATGATCTGTTACAGTCCACCTTATTTATGTTTGGAAACATTACTTTATCTTTAATTCGTTTTCGGCGGTTTTTCCTCATATTCACGGAGTTTGGAAGCTGAAGGGGTTTGACGTAGAATCTAGTTCCACACTAAATATAACCGCCTTCTCCACAGTACGGCCTCTGATGTAGTGTCAATTTAAAATGAATAATCTCAGGGAAAATTCCATGTCTTATATTGTTTACTACCATTACTTATGGAACGATCTACGGCCAATGGTCTTGGTATCCATGGTGTTTAGCATTTTATAACATATGTCTTTAAACGAATCCCTGCAATATTGCCAATAGTTTCTAAATTCAATATTCTTCTTGGTCATCTTCCTCCTCACACGCAGCCACCTCCTCATAGTCCTTCTCCAGTGCAGCCAAGTCCTCTCGGGCCTCAGCAAACTCCCCTTCCTCCATGCCCTCTCCTACATACCAATGGACGAAGGCACGGCGAGCGTACATAAGGTCGAACTTGTGATTCAGACGGCCCCAGGCTTCGGAGATAGCTGTTGTGTTACTCAACATGCAGACGGCTCTTTGTACTTTTGCCAGATCACCCCCAGGGATTACAGTTGGAGGTTGGTAGTTGATTCCGACCTTGAAGCCTGTTGGGCACCAGTCTACGAACTGGATTGATCGTTTGGTCTTGATGGTTCCAATGGCTTTATTGACATCCTTCGGCACGACATCACCTCGGTAAAGCAAACAGACCGCCATGTATTTCCCGTTTCGAGGGTCACATTTCACCATTTGGTTTTGGGGTTCAAAACAGGCTGTAGTGATTTCACCTACTCCCAACTGTTCGTTGTAAGCCTTTTCTGCAGAAATAATTGGAGCGTAGGTTGCTAAGGGGAAGTGAATACGAGGGTAAGGGACCAGGTTGGTCTGGAATTCGTTAAGGTCTACATTCAGGGCTCCGTCAAACCGGAGTGAGGCTGTTATGGAGCTTACAATCTGGCTGATGATCCTGTTTAGGTTGATATACGACGGGCTCTCAATGTCGAGGTTACGTTTACAGATGTCATAGATAGCCTCGTTGTCGACCATGAAAGCGCAGTCGGAATGCTCCAAAGTGGTATGGGTAGTGAGGATTGAGTTGTAGGGCTCCACAACAGAGGTGGACACCTGCGGCGCGGGATATACCGCAAACTCCAATTTTGACTTCTTGCCGTAATCAACGCTCAGACGTTCCATTAACAAGGACGCGAAGCCAGAACCAGTTCCTCCTCCAAAGCTGTGGAATATCAGGAAACCTTGAAGTCCGGAACAATTGTCAGATAACTTCCGAACAAGATCCAGAACGGGGTCGGCGTACTCCTTCCCGATGGTGTAATGTCCTCGGGCGTAGTTGTTTGCCGCGTCCTCCTTTCCGGTCAAGAGGTATTCCGGATGGAACAGTTGTCGGTATTTTCCTGTTCGGACTTCATCTAAAAAGTATATCGTTTCAATTAGAATTCAATTAGAATTCAATTTCAAACGGGAAAGCTTGGAAAACTTGATTTCCAAATGCCATTCATGACGATAATAAAGTTTACATTTATTAAAAACGTTATGTAATTAACAAAAATATCAAAGGTCTTGATAATATCAATTTCTTTGAAAGAAAGAAATTTGACAGAAATTTTCATATTACTGTTAATCACGTTTTAATTTAATATGTTTATAAAGAATTGTTAAAGGTCACACAAAACTGATAAGAATGCAAATGTTTGTTTGTTTATTTGTTTATGTTTAACGGCCCATCGACGGCTGTGGTCATGCAAATGAAGTGATACTTGAAGGTTTTCAATAAACTAGCCCTTGCTATTATAGAAAATCCCAGTGGAGTTCTGTAAACGTATAACTATCATCGTTAGGATATTTGTCTTTATTTTTTATCATTAGTGTTTCAAATGTTGATTTACCGATTAAAAAAGTTATTTTAAACCATTAAGTTTCCCCTAAATTTTGACATTTTTTATCAGGTGTATTTGAATTTGCGCACTATCACCGTGCCTATCAAACGCTGACCGTTGGTCTTCTGATCCGGGCACGTATCTGGACTTGTCCTATATTGACATCCTGCGCGTTGAAGTCATTTCAGTCAAAAACTGATAACAACGTTTATGTGACGGGTATCGTATTGATAATGGGTACATCTTGTGATAGTTATCGGACGGGGGACACGTGAGCAGACTTGTCTGAACCAAACACTACGCAGTTCTATAGGCCATCACAGATAAACATCCACATTATTGTGGCAAAGATTGTCAAATGCTCTCTGTTGACGACATCGGTTTTCTCATATATTTAAGTCTTTTCCCGATTAATAACAAATATGATTTTATATTATAACCTTCGTTAACCTTTTCTATTTTCATAATCTAGTTTTATACGTTTGAGGATTTGTAATCTGTGGAATGTTCAACTTACTATCATTTTGTATATTGTTGTGTAGTAATTGTTGGTGTTTGTAGTGCGCTATCTCCTTTATATGGCAGTAGAGCTTAATGGGTTGGTGCGGTATATGTGGGAGTGGCGTTATTGGTACGGGACTATCTCCTTTATATGGCAGTAGAGTTTAATGGGTTGGTGCGGTATATGTGGGAGTGGCGTTATTGTTATGGGACTATCTCCTTTATATGGCAGTAGAGTTTAATGGGTTGGTGCGGTATATGTGGCAGTGGCGTTATTGTTATGGGACTATCTCCTTTATATGGCAGTAGAGTTTAATGGGTTGGTGCGGTATATGTGGCAGTGGCGTTATTGTTATGGGACTATCTCCTTTATATGGCAGTAGAGTTTAATGGGTTGGTGCGGTATATGTGGCAGTGGCGTTATTGTTATGGGACTATCTCCTTTATATGGCAGTAGAGTTTAATGGGTTGGTGCGGTATATGTGGCAGTGGCGTTATTGTTATGGGACTATCTCCTTTATATGGCAGTAGAGTTTAATGGGTTGGTGCGGTATATGTGGCAGTGGCGTTATTGTTATGGGACTATCTCCTTTATATGGCAGTAGAGTTTAATGGGTTGGTGCGGTATATGTGGCAGTGGCGTTATTGTTATGGGACTATCTCCTTTATATGGCAGTAGAGTTTAATGGGTTGGTGCGGTATATGTGGCAGTGGCGTTATTGTTATGGGACTATCTCCTTTATATGGCAGTAGAGTTTAATGGGTTGGTGCGGTATATGTGGCAGTGGCGTTATTGTTATGGGACTATCTCCTTTATATGGCAGTAGAGTTTAATGGGTTGGTGCGGTATATGTGGCAGTGGCGTTATTGTTATGGGACTATCTCCTTTATATGGCAGTAGAGTTTAATGGGTTGGTGCGGTATATGTGGCAGTGGCGTTATTGTTATGGGACTATCTCCTTTATATGGCAGTAGAGTTTAATGGGTTGGTGCGGTATATGTGGCAGTGGCGTTATTGTTATGGGACTATCTCCTTTATATGGCAGTAGAGTTTAATGGGTTGGTGCGGTATATGTGGCAGTGGCGTTATTGTTATGGGACTATCTCCTTTATATGGCAGTAGAGTTTAATGGGTTGGTGCGGTATATGTGGCAGTGGCGTTATTGTTATGGGACTATCTCCTTTATATGGCAGTAGAGTTTAATGGGTTGGTGCGGTATATGTGGCAGTGGCGTTATTGTTATGGGACTATCTCCTTTATATGGCAGTAGAGTTTAATGGGTTGGTGCGGTATATGTGGCAGTGGCGTTATTGTTATGGGACTATCTCCTTTATATGGCAGTAGAGTTTAATGGGTTGGTGCGGTATATGTGGCAGTGGCGTTATTGTTATGGGACTATCTCCTTTATATGGCAGTAGAGTTTAATGGGTTGGTGCGGTATATGTGGCAGTGGCGTTATTGTTATGGGACTATCTCCTTTATATGGCAGTAGAGTTTAATGGGTTGGTGCGGTATATGTGGCAGTGGCGTTATTGTTATGGGACTATCTCCTTTATATGGCAGTAGAGTTTAATGGGTTGGTGCGGTATATGTGGCAGTGGCGTTATTGTTATGGGACTATCTCCTTTATATGGCAGTAGAGTTTAATGGGTTGGTGCGGTATATGTGGCAGTGGCGTTATTGTTATGGGACTATCTCCTTTATATGGCAGTAGAGTTTAATGGGTTGGTGCGGTATATGTGGCAGTGGCGTTATTGTTATGGGACTATCTCCTTTATATGGCAGTAGAGTTTAATGGGTTGGTGCGGTATATGTGGCAGTGGCGTTATTGTTATGGGACTATCTCCTTTATATGGCAGTAGAGTTTAATGGGTTGGTGCGGTATATGTGGCAGTGGCGTTATTGTTATGGGACTATCTCCTTTATATGGCAGTAGAGTTTAATGGGTTGGTGCGGTATATGTGGCAGTGGCGTTATTGTTATGGGACTATCTCCTTTATATGGCAGTAGAGTTTAATGGGTTGGTGCGGTATATGTGGCAGTGGCGTTATTGTTATGGGACTATCTCCTTTATATGGCAGTAGAGTTTAATGGGTTGGTGCGGTATATGTGGCAGTGGCGTTATTGTTATGGGACTATCTCCTTTATATGGCAGTAGAGTTTAATGGGTTGGTGCGGTATATGTGGCAGTGGCGTTATTGTTATGGGACTATCTCCTTTATATGGCAGTAGAGTTTAATGGGTTGGTGCGGTATATGTGGCAGTGGCGTTATTGTTATGGGACTATCTCCTTTATATGGCAGTAGAGTTTAATGGGTTGGTGCGGTATATGTGGCAGTGGCGTTATTGTTATGGGACTATCTCCTTTATATGGCAGTAGAGTTTAATGGGTTGGTGCGGTATATGTGGCAGTGGCGTTATTGTTATGGGACTATCTCCTTTATATGGCAGTAGAGTTTAATGGGTTGGTGCGGTATATGTGGCAGTGGCGTTATTGTTATGGGACTATCTCCTTTATATGGCAGTAGAGTTTAATGGGTTGGTGCGGTATATGTGGCAGTGGCGTTATTGTTATGGGACTATCTCCTTTATATGGCAGTAGAGTTTAATGGGTTGGTGCGGTATATGTGGCAGTGGCGTTATTGTTATGGGACTATCTCCTTTATATGGCAGTAGAGTTTAATGGGTTGGTGCGGTATATGTGGCAGTGGCGTTATTGTTATGGGACTATCTCCTTTATATGGCAGTAGAGTTTAATGGGTTGGTGCGGTATATGTGGCAGTGGCGTTATTGTTATGGGACTATCTCCTTTATATGGCAGTAGAGTTTAATGGGTTGGTGCGGTATATGTGGCAGTGGTGTTATTGTTATGGGACTATCTCCTTAATATGGCAGTAGAGTTTAATGGGTTGGTGCGGTATATGTGGCAGTGGCGTTATTGGTACGGGACTATCTCCTTTATATGACAGTAGAGTTTAATGGGTTGGTGTGGTATACGTGGCAGTGGCGTTATTGTTATGGGACTATCTCCTTTATATGGCAGCAGAGTTTAATGGGTTGGTGCGGTATATGTGGCAGTGACGTTATTGTAATGGGACTATATCTCCTTTATATGACAGTAGAGTTTAATGGGTTGGTGCGGTTTATGAGGCAGTGACGTTATTGTTATGGGACTATCTCCTTTATATGACAGTAGAGTTAAATGGGTTGGTGCGGTATATGTGGCAGTGGCGTTATTGGTCCGGGACTATCTCCTTTGTATGGCAGTAGAGTTTAATGGGTTGGGGTGGTATATGTGGCAGTGGCGTTATTGGTACGGGACTATATCTCCTTTATATGGCAGTAGAGTTTAATGGGTTGGTGAGGTATATGTGGCAGTGGCGTTATTGTTATGGGACTATATCTCCTTTATATGGCAGTAGAGTTTAATGGGTTGGTGAGGTATATGTGGCAGTGGCGTTATTGTTATGGGACTATCTCCTTTATATGGCAGCAGAGTTTAATGGGTTGGTGCGGTATATGTGGCAGTGGTGTTATTGTTATGGGACTATCTCCTTAATATGGCAGTAGAGTTTAATGGGTTGGTGCGGTATTTGTGGCAGTGGCGTTTTTGTTATGGGACTATATCTCCTTTATATGGCAGTAGAGTTTAATGGGTTGGTGAGGTATATGTGGCAGTGGCGTTATTGTTATGGGACTTTCTCCTTTATATGGCTGTAGAGTTTAATGGGTTGGTGCGGTATATGTGGGAGTGGCGTTATTGGTACGGGCCTATATCCTTTATATGGCAGTAGAGTTTAATGGGTTGGTGTGGTATATGTGGCAGTGGCGTTATTGGTACGGGACTATCTCCTTTGTATGGCAGTAGAGTTTAATGGGTTGGTGTGGTATATGTGGCAGTGGCGTTATTGGTACGGGACTATCTCCTTTGTATGGCACAACAGTTGTAATAATCCGTCCCCTGTATATGTTAGCGTTGTTGTTGTTTTTTAGAGAAGAAATTATATATCGTTATGGAGTGGGATGACAGTGGTAATTATTTAATGGGTTATTCCCATTAGAAGACATTAGACATTGTTTTAGATAAATCCTGTGTATTACAGTGGTAATTATTTTAATAGGTTATTCCCATTATAAGACATACTATACTGTTAGATATTAGCCCTTGGTATTGCAGTGGTTATTTACTGACAATTTTACAGTGATCTTGAAAAAAATAGGAAACAATTGTTTAATGTTTTAAAGAGTTTGAAGCTATGGTTGAAATGAGTCAAACCACTTTTTTAACGAGTGGATTCTAACCTGTTTACCACGTGCACCTTACCGACGACTGTAGGCTCAAGGTCAACAAACACAGCCCGAGGGACGTGTTTTCCAGACGAGGTCTCGCTGAAGAAAGTGTCAAATGAGTCGTCAGCTTTTCCGATTTTCTTGTCTGTGGCCATTTGTCCGTTCGGTTGGATTCCATGTTCCAGACAGTACAACTCCCAGCAGGCGTTCCCAATCTGAACGCCGGCCTGGCCAACGTGGATACTGATACATTCACGCTATTAAGATAATAAAACATTTATTAATATAGAATGTAAGTATATTTAATTCTGAAATCACGGCTTCTTGAAGTGTAAATTTCTTCTTAACTCGACAAATTAAAAAAAAACTTTTAAAGAAAGCACAAATAAAAAATGTAAATATTTACAATAGATGCATTTCGTCCATTTAAGACTGGTACTAAAACGCATGTTATAAATGTATTACGTTATGATACGCTACAGTAGATTACTTGTTAGTCTTTATAATGCTTTCCTTGTCACCACCTCATATTGTATTTGTATTTCTGTAAGAGGTAGGGTGCATTCGGCATGGTATTTCTGTAAGGGGTAGGGTGCATTCGGCATGGTATTTCTGTAATAGGTGGGGTGCATTCGGCATGGTATTTCTGTAAGAGGCGGGGTGTATTCGGCATGATATTTCTGTAAGAGGTGGGGTGCATTCGGCAGGGTATTTCTGTAAGAGGTAGGGTGCATTCGGCAATGTATTTCTGTAAGAGGGAGGGTGCATTCGGAATGGTATTTCTGTAAGAGGTAGGTTGCATTCGGCAATGTATTTCTGTAAGAGGTAGGGTGCATTCGGCATGGTATTTCTGTAAGAGGTGGGGTGCATTCGGCATGGTATTTCTGTAAGAGGTGGGGTGTATTCGGCATGATATTTCTGTAAGAGGTGGGGTGCATTCGGCATGGTATTTCTGTAAGAGGTAGGGTGCATTCGGCAATGTATTTCTGTAAGAGGTAGGGTGCATTCGGAATGGTATTTCTGTAAGAGGTAGGGTGCATTCGGCATGGTATTTCTGTAAGAGGTGGGGTGCATTCGGCATGGTATTTCTGTAAAGTAACACTCCTATATCGGCTTCACCATCATACTGCCTCCATCACGCGCATACGATATACACAATTTTATAATTACCCTCAGCTGTTTATAGGACGCTTCATATTATAGACCATTATATACCAAGAAACCACGGGCACATTTTGCTTCACATAGACGGCCATGTGAATCTCAAATGTGTATTTGAACACGATTGGCTTTGATATACTGACAAGAACGACTTATATAAAACATTCCATTCTCTTTAAATATCTCTGCTATAAAACAACCCCTTCTGTTTAAATATCTCTGCTATAAATCAACCCCTTCTCTTTAGAGATATCTGCTACAACAATCCTTTCTCTTTAGAGATCTCTGCTATAACATAATCCCTTCTCTTTAGAGATCTCTGCTATAAAACAATCCCTTCTCTTTAGAGATCTCTGCTATAAAAAATCCCTTCTCTTTAGAGATATCTTCTACAACAATCCTTTCTCTTTAGAGATCTCTGCTATACAAAAATCCTTTCTCTTTAGAGCTATCTGCTATAAAACAATCCATTCCCTTTAAAGATCTCTGCTACAAAACAATCCCTTCTCTTTAGAGATCTCGGCTACAAAACAATACCTTCTCTTTAGATATATCTGCTATAAAACATTCCTTTATCTTTAGAGATCTCTGCTATTAAACAATCATTTCTCTTAAGATATCTCTGCTATAAAACATTCCTTTCTCTTTAGAGACCAATTTGTTTTAGTTCCCACAAAGCGGTTAATAAAATGTTATAATCTATAGAGAAACCTATTTTTGAGCCTTAGCTTTGGTGGTCTCTAAATACAGATTTGTCTGCGCATATGGCATTTAAAATATAGATGAGTTGTATTCATTGTTGTATTCAAACATTAATCTAGTGTCTAAAATCGATTTACGATTTTCTGTCTCGATAAAGGCAACCGTGTCGAACCTCGCTTAAAATTGAACTTAATTCATCAAACAGAAAAGTCGGAAGCCTTGCCAATCGAAGAAAATAAACTTACCATATTTATGACTAGTGAATTAGTATTTCTAATTAATTCCACCTGCTTGCCTCTCTCAGACGTGTAAAGAGCCCGGAAAGTACTTTGACAATGACGTCATATTCTGTCTCCTAATCCTATATCATAAACTTGAACAGTATACAGACTTCAAACTCGTACTTAAAAAGCATAAAAGTTTATGACTACATGATAACGACTTTAGGACAGGGCACATATTAAGGTACACTGTAGATATGATCGTGTCGGTTACAAACTTATCACATAAGTTATCACATCGTTAATCAGCAAAATCAGCCTCATACGTTACAGTAGTGACGCTGTCCAACGAGATAATAATGAAACTTACCTAGTCGTTATTAAAAATGAAAACAACATCAAATATACGTTTATGTAACAACATGAACGGATAACGACAACATTATTTAAAATTTACGAAAAAAAAAATTATTTTAAAAATAAAAATACTGCAATAAATTGGAAGGTATTTTTAGACATCCAAATATTGCGAAATTGACATTCCTTCTTTGAGGAAAGCATCTCAAGTTTTTCTCGGCTCAAATACCTTGGTTTTAGTTCTGAGATAACGGATGGCTTCGAAAACTCCTAAAATGAAAATGATTGGTGCCATTTTGTTTTGCAGTTTTCCCCCCTTGCAGATGGTTAACACGTGTCACGAGACTTTCACACCATGCTATGGTTGATATAAAATCATTTGAGGGATGCAAACATCTATATGGGGTCAAGCGTCAATGACAAATGATAATGTCTCCATAGTTTTATAAAGTTTAACGTCCTGTTAACAGCTAAGGCATATGCTTCATAGGCATATTCCGACTTTTCGTATTGCAGAGTTATCTTCTCTTGTGAGCAGGTATTGATTGTTACGTCACTTGTTTATGAGAGTAACGTCATCAATTTTTGAGAAAACGACGTTATTTTCTCACACAAACCATTGACGTAACATTCAATACCTGCTCCCAAGAGAAGATTACTCTGCAATACGCAAAGACGGAATACACGCATGCTTGGCCATACGATATATTATATACTCAGGAGGTGGGGTCGACATTTTGGACATGCTTCGTCAATGCATCCATGTTCATTAGATGATAAAAGAAACCACATAACAGGCCGAAAGTAATGCATATTATATTGTTATGTACATATTCCTAAGGTGCATATGTAAAAATGACCATAAAACACACTGTGATTAGAAGTTAGTACCTTACACAGTCTGCCAAAAACAGAATGACACTGTGTTTAGAAGTTAGTAGCTTACACAGTCTGCCAAAAACAGAATGACACTGTGATTAAAAGTAAGTACCTTACACAGTCTGCCAAAAACAGAAGGACACTGTGATTAGAAGTTAGTACCTTACACTGTCTGCCAAAAACAGAATGACACTGTGATTAAAAGTTAGTACCTTAAACAGTCTGCCAAAAACAGAATGACACTGTGATTAAAAGTTAATACCTAACACAGTCTGCCACAAACAGAATGACACTGTCATTAGAAGTTAGTACCTTACACAGTCTGCCAAAATCAGCATGACATTGTGATTAGAAGTTAGTAACTAACACAGTCTGCCAAAAACAGAATGACACTGTGATTAGAAGTTAGTACCTAACATAGTCTGCCAAAAACAGAATGACACTGTGATTAAAAGTAAGTACCTTACACAGTCTGCCAAAAACAGAAGGACACTGTGATTAGAAGTTAGTACCTTACACTGTCTGCCAAAAACAGAATGACACTGTGATTAAAAGTTAGTACCTTACACAGTCTGCCAAAAACAGAATGACACTGTGATTAAAAGTTAATACCTAACACAGTCTGCCACAAACAGAATGACACTGTCATTAGAAGTTAGTACCTTACACAGTCTGCCAAAATCAGCATGACATTGTGATTAGAAGTTAGTAACTAACACAGTCTGCCAAAAACAGAATGACACTGTGATTAGAAGTTAGTACCTAACATAGTCTGCCAAAAACAGAATGACACTGTGATTAGAAGTTAGTACCTTACACAGTCTGCCAAAATCAGAATGACACTGTGATTAAAGGTAAGTACCTAACACAGTCTGCCAAAAACAGAATGACATGGGATTATAAGTTAGTACCGTACACAGTCTGCCAAAAACAGAATGACACTGTGATTAAAAGTTAGTACCTTACACAGTCTGCCAAAAACAGAATGACACTGTGATTAAAAGTTAGTACCTTACACAGTCTGCCAAAAACAGAATGACACTGTGATTAAAAGTTAGTACCTTACACAGTCTGCCAAAAACAGAATGACACTGTGATTAAAAGTTAGTACCTTACACAGTCTGCCAAAAACAGAATGACACTGTGATTAAAAGTTAGTACCTTACACAGTCTGCCAAAAACAGAATGACACTGTGATTAAAAGTTAGTACCTTACACAGTCTGCCAAAAACAGAATGACACTGTGATTAAAAGTTAGTACCTTACACAGTCTGCCAAAAACAGAATGACACTGTGATTAAAAGTTAGTACCTTACACAGTCTGCCAAAAACAGAATGACACTGTGATTAAAAGTAAGTACCTTACACAGTCTGCCAAAAACAGAATGACTCTGTGATTAAAAGTTAGTACCTAACAGTCTGCCAAAAAACAAAATGACTCTGTGATTAAAAGTAAGTACCTAACAGTCTGCCAAAAACAGAATGACATTGTGATTAAAAGTAAGTACCTAACAATCTGCCAAACAAAGGATTACACGGCATCATACGTCTGTTTTTTCCTTCTAGGACTCGTCGGTGAAGCTTAGGGCCAAAAACGCTGAAACGCTAGGAGTGTGGTCGTCATTTAATCATAAACTGTTTTGAATATTTCAAAGTTGAACAACTGATAAATCATTTGTTTAAAAAAGTACGAACAAAAATGACAATTCATCATTAAAAATAAAACAGATATGCTCTTTTGAAATTGAGAGGAACTTAGCTATATTTGTTGTCATTTACACGTGATTACGTTGAAACAATAGATTTCCTACTCTAGTCAGCACATGTAGGTCACCTTTTAAGGAAACTTGGACTCTGTTTACCTGTGCATATGTTTCTGGTGACGTATAACATTCAGGAAACGACATTGTTTCTCGGCTAGAGATAGCTAACAGTGATGTTGTTATTATGATAAACGAAAACAGGTGATACCTCTTTTCCCGAATAACGAATTTGATTGACAAATATCAAGCTACTCGGGATTAAGTTGTTTTGCCGTGAAATGCCTTATACCTGGTCTGACAACCGCCTCACTACAATGGTTATAGCTAGTGTTGTATTGTTAACCTGTATGAGTGCTATTGCATCAGTAATGAAGTCAATAGCGCATGTTTGTGGAAATGCTAACTATACTCTCACAATTATAATATGAATTAGTGATGGTGACGTTATTATTCAAGGTTCAAAGGTTTATATCGTTCAATTTCATTAACTGTACAACAGTTATGACACAAATAGTTTACCAATACATACTACTGAGTGTTGCTGGCCTATCCTCAGACTTAGGGAATGTCCTTATCTAGGAAAACGTGACAAGTGTATCGGCTAAAGGGTTATATACTGCGAGTTACGTCTACAGCCAAGTCTTCAGGGAACTTTTGGAAATTTCAGTTCTCTTTAGACGACAGTTACAGTTGTCGGACGTTTGTGATTTCATCAATATCATCATGACCGTTCTGTTTGTATCCTTACTTGGTGAGTGTACTGATTTAACATCAATATCATCATGACCGTTCTGTTTGTATTAACATCAATATCATCATGACCGTTCACTTTGTATCCTTACTTTAGTGAGTGCACTGATTTAACATCAATATCATCATGACCGTTCCCTTTGTATCTTGACTTAGTGAGTGTACTGATTTTACATCAATGACCGTTCTGTTTACCAATATCCTACCTTAGTGTGATGCCATACCTAATAGAGGTTCAGGGCTATCAAAGGTATTCATAAAACAATACGCCATATACACAAAATATTGGATAAGGAGTCAAAGGGCGGATTTGTCGAGTTGTTTACATTCTGGCCTTCCAATCAGGCGGCCGGAGTTCGATCCCCGAAGTCGTCGTACGCATGTATCCTGTCCACACATCTCCAATAACCCAGATGGAGTATGGATTGGTCTGGGGTGGATGTTGCGGTATCTGTGCAGTAGCATTCAAGTGAGATGCCGTTGGAAGCACGGTCCATTAGAAAACATGCATGCATACACACATAGGGAGATATTAGCCAGGTGGCATAGGTTTAGTAGTTAGCGCCTGATAAGACAGTTCCTGCGGATTCCTCAAAATTGTATTGATTAATGTATATGCTTATTGTAATAATTGTATATCTATGTACTGTAAAGGGCTTTAGAGTGGCTTATGTTAGCTAGATAGGGCGCTATATCAAAAACTGTATATTATTATTTTATAATTAAAGGTTAAAATAAAGTAATAACATTATAAACATAATTTCTATCCCGGAGAATGAATTGTAGGTCCCTGTCACAATGATTAGGTTCGATATTTATGAATGTCCTGGTAATGCAATTATATGCCAAAACAATTTTCGGCAAAAGTATGTTACAACCATAAAACACACACTAAAAGTATGTTACAACCATAAGACACACACTAAAAGTATGTTACAACCACAAGACACACACTTAAAGTATGTTACAACCATAAAACACACATTAAAAGTATGTTACAAACATAAAACACACACTATGAGTATGTTACAACCATAAAACACGCACTAAAAGTATGTCACAACCATAAAAAACACACTAAACGTATGTCACAACCATAAGACACACACTAAAAGTATGTCACAACCATAAGACCCACACTTAAAGTATGTCACAACCATAAAAAAAACACACTAAAAGTATGTCACAACCATAAAACACACGCTAAAAGTATGTCTCTACCATAAGACACACACTTAAAGTATGTTATAACCATAAAACACACACTAAAAGGTATGTTACAACCATAAAACACACACTAAAAGTATGTCACAACCATAAAACACACACTAAAAGTATGTTACAACCATAAGACACACACTAAAAGTATGTTACAACCATAAGACACACACTAAAAGTATGTTACAACCATAAAACACACACTAAAAGTATGTTACAACCATAAAACACACACTAAAAGTATGTTACAACCATAAGACACACACTAAAAGTATGTTACAACCATAAGACACACACTAAAAGTATGTTACAACCATAAAACACACACTAAAAGTATGTTACAACCATAAAACACACACTAAAAGTATGTTACAACCATAAGACACACACTAAAAGTATGTTACAACCATAAGACACACACTAAAAGTATGTTACAACCATAAAACACACACTAAAAGTATGTTACAACCATAAAACACACACTAAAAGTATGTTACAAACATAAAACACACACTATGAGTATGTTACAACCATAAAACACACACTAAAAGTATGTCACAACCATAAAAAACACACTAAAAGTATGTCACAACCATAAGACACACACTAAAAGTATGTCACAACCATAAGACACACACTAAAAGTATGTCACAACCATAAAACACACACTAAAAGTATGTCTTTACCATAAGACACACACTTAAAGTATGTTATAACCATAAAACACACACTAAAAGTATGTTACAACCATAAAACACACACTAAAAGTATGTCACAACCATAAAACACACACTTAAAGTATGTTACAACCATAAAACACACACTATGAGTATGTTACAACCATAAAACACACACTAAAAGTATGTCACAACCATAAAAAAACACACTAAAAGTATGTCACAACCATAAAACACACACTAAAAGTATGTCTCTACCATAAGACACACACTAAAAGTATGTTACAACCATAAAACACACACTAAAGGTATGTTACAACCATGAAACACACACTAAAAGTATGTTACAACCATAAGACAAACACTAAAAGAATGTTACAACCATAAGACACACACTTTCTGTATCTGTGAGGATACTAATGTGACCATTTATGCTTAGTTTTTGAACCGATACTTGTTCAGGTAGAAGGAATCACATCATATTTATACCTGTATTTGTTCAGGTAGAGGGAATCAAGTCCTATTTGTACCGGTATTTGTTCAGGTACAGGGAATCACGTCATATTTGTACCGGTATTTGTTCATGAAGAGGGAATCACATCATATTTGTACCGGTATTTGTTCAGGTAGAGGGAATCACGTCATATTTGTACCGGTATTTGTTCAGGTAGAGGGAATCACGTCATATTTGTACCGGTATTTGTTCAGGTAGAGGGAATCACGTCCTATTTGTACCGGTATTTGTTCAGGTAGAGGGAATCACGTCATATTTGTACCGGTATTTGTTCAGGTAGAGGGAATCACGTCATATTTATACCGGTATTTGTTCAGGTAGAGGGAATCACGTCATATTCATGGAGATACAGATTGGTAACATGGTTTAAGAAAACGTTGTTTTGACGTTGAATTTCTGTAACTATTTTATTTATTCAATTAAGCAGAAAATATCTGGGTTGTTGTCAGGAAGTTTCATGAGTGTCACACGTGCTCTGTTCTAGTGTTGTTACATTGATATTTGTAAATTAAAACCCTGCTTGCTTTTGTTTCATTAGACATGTAATACATATAAAACGAGAAAATTAGAACATCTTTTTGCACACTACACTGGAATATTTATATGAGTTTGTTCAATTTATTGCAGTCTATGTTTCAAAAATGTCAAATCAGCGATGCTAAATGTAGAACTTATAGGACATATGTTGTATATTGCAGTACATTGTTGTACACATATTGGACAGAATAATAAGTAAGGGTTGGTTTACAACGATTCCTAATTCAAGAAATATCAGAACATTTTAGAGATGTTCAAAATGTTACATCAAATAAGAATGTGTTCAACTCCCTTTACAACACTCGCCCACCATTAAAATATCAATGGAAATCTAATTTGCACTCTACAGCATGTATCATTTGGAGCGCCAGATTTCCTGGGAGCAGAATGAGTTAAATGATAGGATATTACAGGATCTCAGAACTGAATGGGGTATGGCTTGGTTTGGTTTTATTTTGCTAAACGTCCTATTAACACTAAGGTCATTTAAGGACGTGCCTAAATATGTGTAATGTACGCGTGCTTACGTGTGTGCATGCAGGAGACAGGGTATATTGGTGTGCTTGCCTCCTTGTGATAGCGCGGACCTGATGCCGGTTGTATAGTGCTATCTCACTGAAATGCCATGCCGAGGGCGCCAAGCACAGCATTCAGCCGGTCACCTTATACTGACAATGGGTTAACCAGTTGTTGCCATTCCCCTTAATGCTGAACGTTAAGCAGGGAATAACAACTACTTTTTTTAAGGACTTTGGTATGTCCCGGCCTGGGGACAGAACCCATTACCTTCCTCACCTGGGCGAACGCTCAACATTCAAGCCAAAAGTGAGGTGATGCCAAGCAAGGCGCTAGGAAATAAAAGGTAGTTAGAAGTAGAAAGAAAAATTAAAGATCCCAAATATTGCAATGGACGCAGCAGATTTATTTTGATCGCTTTTGTGTCCCCAAATAGAGGACACCAAAGCAAATCCCCAATTCTGCAAGGGGTTTGCTTTGGTTGCCTCTTACCATTCATGCAGTGGGTAGCAGCAGGTGTATTATTTCCCCGATCCTCACCTGCAGGGGTGTTTAAACTGTATTTATTTCTGGTAATATACAATACATTATATTTTCAATATATAATCAATAACGATTCGGAAACAAGTACAAAGTACTTATACAACGTCCGTTTCGTTACGTTAGATACACGATACAGATAACATATATAGTTATCATTAAATCATATTGCAAGTAAGTTCTAAAACATATACATAAACTAATTTCGTAGAATGGCAGAAATATGAAGGATCAATGTAAACAATGTAACAATTATCGATGAATTTGAATAGCAGTGATATACTCAAGCAGGAAATGACGCCTCGAAGTGATGTACGCCTAAATACAAACAAAATGAGAAACTTGTTCATAATATGTTTTTCATACCTATTGCGCTCACTCACACAATAACAATAAATAAGATAAAGTACATATGCGTTGATTATCATATATTTTCAGTTAAAACGTTTGCTTTGCACACTATAATTCTGTACAGATGTCAAAATATCAATATTAACTGCTTCCTGTAAACTTATATCACCAAATAATAACAAATTAGTTGTGATGTCGTGGGGTAGTGATAATAAGTAAGTTTGTCGTAGCAGGGGTGTGAATGGGGTAATCCTCCCTTATACTGTAAATGTGCTCAAATACGACACATTATCATTGGCTGGTCTACCATAGTGATTACTTCTTAATTATAACTATTGTAGTAAATTAATTAAAAAGCATAAAACAGTTGTGATCGCTGAAAAAATCAATGAATAAATAGCAGGAGACCTGATCTACCTTCACTCATTCCAGATTTTTTTTTTTAAACTATGGACAGTTGCGCTGTTATGTTTACTTTATCCAAAGCAATACACAAGAGCTATGTAACATGATATAAAGACAGAATACGAAAACACGATGACGACACCTTACCCAATAGCTTTATAATCGGTTTATTTATGGTTATGAACTATATTTACTATTATCATTGGCAAGGGTTCAATATCAAACTATTTCGTTTTAGCTTTGTCTGGTTTCCTCAGGTTCACATGCTCATCTTATGACCCACGCCCACGTAAACTAGTGCCTTGTTAGAGGAGCGGGAAGTCTAATTACGGCACGAGTGTCTATTTTAATAGATAAGGGAAGTTTAAGATCAAACAACAATACAAACAAAACAAAAATATTCATTTGCTGGCTTAACTCTTTTTGCCCCGTTCCCCCGATGACGTTGACTGTAGGTATGACGTTATACCTCAAATGACAGTGAGCATTGTGGTGCTCTTCAAAACATCGCTTGATTGTGGATAAATACGCGAAAAAAGAGTCCGATAAATTCGTTGACCTATATCATAATTTTAACAGTAAAATGATGAGTTTTAAGGAACTTGCTATGCATACTCATTGTCTCAATTCCACTCCAATATGGTGTCCACAAGCAAGACCAGCATCGCCTCATTGGTATCCATAACAAATTCTTGAAAATGCAAGTATGCTTAGCACTGCATGAAGTTTGAGTTCGATCGGCCCAAGGAAACTCAAGTTATCGCACGAAAACAGATTTTCTATTTATAGTAACAGTGACCTTGACCTTTGACCTTTCATCATTTACTGATATCGAAAATTGGAAAATGACCTCTCGTTAAATATATAAAGTAATAGCCTGCTTATATTAATATATATTTAAATAACGAACATGATAATTGGGCGAGAGTTACCTTTGGCTACAAAACTATGGTATTTGGCCATTTGGAAAAAACCAAAGTCGTGTCATAGACTTATCATTACATTACAATGGCTTTAAACTGCCGAAGTGACCGACTAATCTACATCGCAAGGATAATGTATTTGTGACGTCAGAAGAAACAACACGAATTTCCCTATGGCATATCTATCGCGCTGTCCATTAAACACAAAATTTGATGCATCCACGTTAACTCAATTTCTACAAATAATTCTGCACAACTTTGACAGTGTAACTTCACCAGTCCTCATGAATAATGGAGAATGAGGTCACCGATTTGATTCCGATAACACTTGTTTCGTGACTGTGTGATTGATTTATACCTGCCACATGGCAGAATTTCGGGTTGAGAGCAAGGACAGACTGATAACCTACAATATAGAGATGCCCTTCGTTATTTTAGGAATACATCAACAGATCCGTACACTAAACATATACATACTAAGGTTAACTTCTCTCACCTCAATAACACATATACATACTAAGGTTAAATTATCTCCCCTCAGTACAATAAACATATGCATACTAAGGTTAACTTACCTCGCCTCAGTACAACACACACATACATACTAAGGTTAACTTACCTCGCCTCAGTACAACACACATATACATACTAAGGTTAACTTATCTCCCCTCAGTACAACAAACATATACATACTAAGGTTAACTTATCTCACCTCAGTACAACACACATATACATACTAAGGTTAACTTACCTCGCCTCAGTACAACACACATATTCATACTAAGGTTAACTTATCTCCCCTCAGGACAACAAACATATACAGTCGAACCTCGTTATCTCGAACTCTTTTAACTCGAAGGCCCCGTTTATCTCGAAGTATTTCTCCGGTCCCGGCCAAATCTGTTCTTTATCTTAGTAAATAAAACTCTGATAATTCGAACACTGAAAAGTCGAAAAACTCGGATACCTCGAAGTAAAATATTGGTTTCAATAGCGTTAATCCAACATAGTATTCAAATTTCAATTTGTCACTTGTTAATTCTTTGATACAAATAAAACGCAAAAGTACGACATTTCGCCATTCCGTGTTTATAAACATCTTTCGTAAGTAGACTAGCATGAAATCAGTAAAATAGAATTTACGATAAAGCTTAGGACTGTAAAGTTTACGGACTGTAAAAACCATGTTATTCATAATAAAAAACAAACTGCATCAATGTTGATCAACAGTAATCTGTACTTACTGCGAGTCCGTTTAATGATTTGTACACCTAAACAGACGACAGTGCAAACCGGAAAATTGGTCACAAAGCGTGGTCATGCATAAAAGAGTTCCACAGTTAAAATCACAACCTAGGTCAGCTTTACGGGTTCATGTTTTTACAGGAGCCAGTATGGCTTTGAAAGTCGATCGAGAGATTTAAAACAAAACGATAATTGCTGTTGATTACATCGAGTTGAGGAGGTGTCAGGTGTCATATTTGGCTTTAATGAATCAATGTGTCACATGTACGATATAATTTGATTGTGTGTTTTCATTTACAGAATCAACTAGTGCTAGTGCTATGTCCCAACAGCAAATTTCATACCAAATCTATGAACCCGCATAACTCGAATACTCGGATAACTCGAAGTTTTCCCACGACCCCGTCGACTTCGAGATAACGAGGTTCGAATGTACATACTAAGGTTAACTTACCTAACCTCAGTACAACAAACATATACATACTAAGGTTAACTTATCTCCCCTCAGTACAACAAACATATACATACTAAGGTTAACTTACCTAACATCAGTACAACAAACATATACATACTAAGGTTAACTTATCTCCCCCCAGTACAACAAACATATACATACTAAGGTTAACTTATCCCCCCTCAGTACAACAAACATATACATACTAAGGTTAACTTATCTCCCCTCAGTACAACAAACATATACATACTAAGGTTAACTTATCCCCCCTCAGTAAAACAAACATATACATACTAAGGTTAACTTATCCCCCCTCAGTACAACACACACATATACACTAAGGTTAACTTATCCCCCCTCAGTACAACAAACATATGCATACTAAGGTTAACTTACCTCACCTCAGTACAACAAACATATACATACTAAGGTTAACTTACCTCACCTCAGTACAACAAACATATACATACTAAGGTTAACTTACCTCACCTCAGTACAACAAACATATGCATACTAAGGTTTACTTACCTCACCTCAGTACAACAAACATATACATACTAAGGTTAACTTTCCTCACCTCAGTACAACAAACATATGCATACTAAGGTTTACTTACCTCACCTCAGTACAACAAACATATACATACTAAGGTTAACTAATCTCACCACAGTACAACACATATATACATACTAAGGTTAACTTACCTCCCCTCAGTACAACAAACATATGCATACTAAGGTTAACGTATCTCCCCTCAGTACAACAAACATATACATACTAAGATTAACTTATCTCCCCTCAGTACAACACACATATACATAATAAGGTTATCTCCCCTCAGTACAACACACATATACATACTAAGGTTAACTTATCTCACCTCAGTACAACAAACATATACATACTAAGGTTAACTTACCTCCCCTCAGTACAACACACACATACATACTAAGGTTAACTTACCTCCCCTCAGTACAACACACATATACATACTAAGGTTAACTTACCTCCCCTCAGTACAACACACACATACATACTAAGGTTAACTTATCCCCCCTCAGTACAACACATACATACATACTAAGGTTAACTAATCTCACCTCAGTACAACACACATATACATACTAAGATTAACTTATCTCACCTCAGTACAACACACACATACATACTAAGGTTAACTTATCTCCCCTCAGTACAACACACACATACATACTAAGGTTATCTCCCCTCAGTACAACAAACATATACATACTAAGGTTAACTTATCTCCCCTCAGTACAACAAACGTATACATACTAAGGTTAACTTACCTCCCCTCAGTCCAGTATAACATGTAGGTGCTTGTTTTCATTTTCTAATCATGAATACATTTTGTTAGTGTTCTGGGTGTGACAAGGCTAATCATGATTAACCTATACGGGGAACATTCACAAATATGATAATTTGCTTATTGTATTATTAGGATGGTATATGGCCACCCACATTCATCTGAACATAGGAATACAAACATATATCAATAAATGAAGGCAATGTATGAGCTCAGTGAATTCAGGAAAACCTAAATAACGTTGATAACTTCCCCAGTAGAAATCTATTCTGTTAAATAAATCAATTATTTTCATCTAAATAAAGTAAAGTTGTCTTCAAAAGGACTACTAAACACGTGCCAAATTATTAAATATTTCAATAATACTATGAAGATATATTCCCGCACTAACATCAACAACAACTTCATATTTGATACACTTCTCAGTGTTGTTTTATTTTGCTTTAAATACACATATATTGTTTCTTTGCAGCGTGTATTTTGGTGCATGGAATTGTAGGCGCTGGTTTTGATTGTAAGTACGGTTAAATAATTAACGGCATTTGATTATTAAAATGACATTTTACCTTTGAGTACATATTACTGTGTAGCAGAGCCTGGGATGTCCACCCATTCACATAGACAGTCAGTTATTATAGACTCTACAAACATCTCGTGTAATACATGTAAGCTGGAACAGTACTTATCCAGTCTGATCGATGTTTGCAGTTACGACATTTTCTTGAATATTTTCCATGCGTGTAAGATAGTGTTCTTTGCATGTGCGATTAAGAGTTGAATTATGAACTTACTATAAAATATATAAAGTTAAACAAAAAAGCATAATTTAATAATATATGTATTGTAATAATGCATTCACATACCGTTTCGATATATGATACGTAACTGTATCCATTATGAAGTCACTTAGCAATACTATGACATCCATTCACCATGTAAGGCATTACAGGCGACCGGTTTATTTGATTTGCATTATTATATCACGTGATTCAACGTCTTACTATACCTGGATTGGTTCATGATAAAACTTAACGAAATCTTTTATATTTATTTCCATTAGATGTTTATACGGTTGGATGAAATCATATCTAACCGGGTTGATTCCCGTAGAGCAAGTCATCCTGTTATTAATTTGGCATCAATGTTCTGTATATATTTTGATTTATTTGGATTTGTTAATCAAAGGGTCACTCCGTTTTGAATGATAACCAATCATGTGTATGTATTGAAAATTTATAACCTGTTTTTGTTCCTTTTTCAATATTTGACGAAAACCACCTGTTGGAACATTGAGTTATATAATGCCTAAGGATTGAAATATTTCGCTCTATAGTTGGGGCCATTGCCGAATGGTATAAACAGCATCATAGCCAAGGAGGTAGTCACGGAACCGGAAGTCACAGCAGCGGCGGATCCGGATCCGGATGCGACAATACAGATGACAGAGATCGTACGTCTTATGTTCAAAACATTTAATGTGTCCTTTGAATCACCTGCCAATATATACTCTTGTGGAAAGCTAAATGAGAATTGACACTTCTCAACAATCTAGGTCGGTCGATGTTTTGATATAACTTTATGGTGTTCATATCAGCAATCAATCAGGCATGATATACATGTTATTTTTATGATTTTAACATATCCTATCTCAAAGATAACACTGAGAATCAGTTCGTTATGTGTTGATGCGGCTTCTCCGGTACATGCGCTGGTCTTTTTATATTGATCTTAGGTTTTTGTTAAGTTTAAATGATGATAATTAAATAAACTTATCATAACATATATAGTATTGCCATTGGATAAGCCATCATTATATATATTGTAGAAAATGTAAATGTTACTTTAGCTTTGATTTATCATAAATGATTTGCAACGCAGACGTCAACGAAACACTGATAAACTATTTAGAATGTATTCTGTTATTGTCCGGTACTTACAGATGTCATCAGGCTGCTCACGGACTGGCATTATCATCACGAATCTGATGGTTTGTATCTTATTTGTTTATATATAAGCCGAAGCGAATATAAACGTAATGACCTATTCAGGTTATCTCCCGTTCGTACAACGTTGTCATTCCATTAGATGATGATTTTCTATACAGATTACCTCCCTTTATTATAAAGATGCCATTACATTAGATGGCGATTTTCCACACTGATTACCTCCCTTTATAATTACGTTGTCATTACATTAGATGGCGATTTTTCTATACAGATTACCTCCCTTTATGATAACGTTGTCATTACATAAGATGGTGATTTTCTATACGGATTACCTCCCTTTAAAATAACGTTGTCATTACATAAGATGATGATTTTCTACATAGATTACCCCCCTTTATAATAACGTTGTCATTACATTAGATGGCGATTTTTTTCTATGCAGATTACCTCCCTTTATTATAACGTTGTCATTACATAAAAAGGTGATTTTCTATACAGATTACCTCCCTTTATGATAACGTTGTCATTACATAAGATGGTGATTTTCTATCCAGATTACCTCCCTTTAAAATAACGTTGTCATTACATTAGATGATGATTTTCTACATAGATTACCCCCCTTTATAATAACGTTGTAATTACATTAGATGGCAATTTTTCTATGCAGATTACCTCCCTTTATTATAACGTTGTCATTACATTAGATGTTGATTTTTTATACAGATTACCTCCCTTTATTATAACGTTGTAATTACATTACATGGCGATTTTTCTATACAGATTACCCCCTTTTATTATAACGTTGTAATTACATTAGATGGTGATTGTTCTATACAAATTACCTCCCTTTATTATAAAATTATCATTACATTAGATGGCGATTTTCCACACTGATAACCTCCCTTTATAATTACGTTGTCATTACATTAGATGGCGATTTTTCTATACAGACTATTTCCCTTCATTTTAATATTGTCATTGCGTTTGATAATTATTCTCTATACAGATTACCTCCCTTTATAATGACGTTGTCATTACATAAGATGGCGATTTTTCTCTGCAAATTACCCCCCTGTATTATAACGTTGTCATTACATTAGATGGCGATTTTTCTATACAGATTACCCCCCTTTATTATAACGTTGTAATTACATTAGATGGCGATTTTTCTATACAGATTACTTCCCTTTATTATAACGTTGTCATTACATTAAAAGATGATTTTCTACACCGATTACCCCCCTTTATTATAACATTGTCATTGCATGAGATGATGATTTTCTACACAGATTACATCCCTTTATTATAGTGTGTCATTTTTTAGATGATACTTTTCTATCCTAGTTACCTCCTTGTATTATAACGTTGTCCCTTTATACTATGTTACTTCAGCCTTTCAGAAGTTCTACTCTGATGTAGCATTGATTGACATGGAGACTGTCGCTGGATCCCTCCCCAGTAAGTACCAGTTTTGTATTTAGACGGAGTAAAACGCCGCTTTTGTTAGATTATGAGCGTCTGTAAATTTATTAATCGCTTTTATGATATGAATACCGTGTTATGCAGTGTCATAAAGCGATCATATAAATTATGCTTATGTAACGTGTGTTATATCACTCAGGAAATGACGTCAAAATCGAATAAGAAGAATCAATGTGACGTCATGTCATTATGAAGCGGACGCAATTTTCATTGTTTCAGAGGAGGCCAAGTGCAATATATTCCTTTCATATCACAATTATACAGTTTACTTTGTATTGTATTATGAAAATAATCTGTCATTCAATTCCCTTCATATTAGATTGACGATACTCGTTTTAGATTTTTCATATTTGATCGCCAGAGGCTCGCAAAGATGAACAATCCAAAACTTGTGTCATCAATCTAATATGAAGGGAAACTAATGACAGATCCACTATTTTTCTAAAAGATATTTTTGTTCGTTTAAGATTCACGACGAGCGACCCATTATAAAAGTACTCACGACGAGGCCTACACCAACCACGATACGACACCAGATAGTAAGATTGATATCGCTTCTTTGTATCAGATGTCCTAATAGACATCTGTATCATATATCATTCTAGACCTCTGTATCATATATCCTACTAGACCTCTGTATCAGATATCCTTCTAGACCTTTGTATCAGATATCCTACTAGACCTTTGTATCAGATATCCTTCTAGACCTCTGTATCATATATCCTACTAGACCTTTGTATCAGATATCCTACTAGACCTTTGCATCAGATGTCCTACTAGACCTTTGTATCAGATATCCTACTAGACCTCTGTATCATATATCCTACTAGACCTCTGTATCAGATATCCTACTAGACCTTTGTATCAGATATCCTACTAGACCTC